GTCCGTCCACCCCATAAGGATTTAAGGTAATCTTATTGAAATGATGTCCAGTGCGTGTAAGGCGGGCTGCTAATCAGAATGTTTCCTGGAAAAAGATCCTAATGCATCAAGCAGAAATGTTAATAAATTTATCAATATAATACTGAAAGTCTGTATATGCGGGAGTGCTTGCGTGGTGCGTTGTCCGTCAGACACATAAAGTTTTCAGTTAATCTTATTAAAATGATGTCCGGTACCGTTATGCTAATCAGAATATTTCCTGGAAATAGACCATATCCAGGAGACACAGAAAGTTTTCAGTTAATCTAATTGAAATGATGTCCGGTACCTGTAAGGCATGCTGTTAATCAGAATGTTGCCTGGAAACAGACCCTAATGCATCAAGCAGAAAAGTTGATAAATTTATCAATATGATACTGAAAGTCTGTATTTGCGGAAGAGCTTGCGTCGTGCGTTGTCCGTCCGCCACATGACGTTTTCAGTTAATCTTATTGAAATGATGACCGCTACCTGTAAGGCGTGCTGCTAATAAGAATGATTCCTGGAAATCGATCCTAATGCATCAAGCAGAAATGTTAATAAATTTATCAATATAATACTGAAAGACTGTATGTGCGGGAGTGCTTGCGTGGTGAGTTGTCCGGCAACCACATAGGGTTTTCAGTTAATCATATTGAAATGATGTCCGGTACCGTGATGCTAATCAGAATATTTCGTGGAAACAGACCCTAATGCATCAAGGAGACACAACGTTTTCAGTTCATCTTATTGAAATGATGTCCGGTACCTGTAAGGCGTGCTGCTAATCAGAATGTTTCATAGAAATAGACCTTGACGCATGAATCAGAAATTTTAATAAATTTATCAATATAATACTGAAAGACTGTATTTGCGGGAGTGCTTGCGTGGTGCGTTGTCCGTCCGCCACGTAATGTTTTCAGTTGATCTTATTGAAATGATGTCCGATTCCTGTAAGGCGTGCAGCGAATCAGAATGTTTCCTGGAAACATACCCTAATGCATATAGCAAAAATGATAATAAATTTATCAATATAATAATGAAAGTTTGTATTTGCGGGAGCGCTTGCGTGGTGCGTTGTCCGTCCGGCACGTAACGTTTTCAGTTAATCTTATTGAAATGATGTCCGGTACCTGTAAGGCGTGCTGCTAATCAGAATGTTTCCTGGAAACATACCTTAATGCATCAAGCAAAAATGATAATAAATTTATCAATATAATAATGAAAGTCTGTATTTGCGGGAGTGCTTGCGTGGTGCGTTGTCCGTCCGCCACATAACATTTTCAGTTAAAATTATTGATATGATGTCCGGTACCTGTAATGCGTGCTGCTAAGAATGTTTCCTGGAAATAGACCCTAATGCATCAAGCAGAAATGTTAATAAATTTCTTTTTTATTGGTAGGTCTTCCGTCAATGTGCCATGAACTGTATTGTTCAATAAGTACAGGAATGTCACACTTATTATCCGAAAGTTGCACGTTGGATCAGTTATTTTAATTTTGATTATATGTGCAGTTCAATTGATAATTACATGAATCATTCATACAAAAAACAAATATAGAGCTTTATGATTTCAATGGATCATATATTTGTACATCAACGCACATCCTTAAAATTTAAAATTCAAACTCAGCGTTGCGACCGCACGTTCCTAAACAATAACACATTTCTCAGCATTTTTTCGGATTACATCTCTATTTTCGTTGTCCTCTTATTACCGAGTAGTAAAAAACAAGAACAAATCTATTTCCATACCTGGGGATGTCTGTAGGAACAGACGAAATCTTGTAAATACTAAAAAAGACCTTATGCAACTGGAATTTATAAACAGGGATCATATCATTCATATACAGGTTCGGGGTTAGTGTACCTTATTGAAATTGTTTGTGAAGATGTATTCTCGCCATTTAAATAATTAAGCTCTACATTTTTTTTTTGTATGAATGATTCATCTAATTATATATATATATATATATATATATATATATATATATATATTCTGGATAAACAGTCCGGAGTTCGTGTTTTGTTTTCTTTTTATTCGTCCGACTGACTTAGTCATTTCCATGAACTGGATGTTGTCAGTGTGGCAGACAATATTTTGTTGGTTACATCCTGGCATTTGTTGGCACGTTGGAATTCAAATTAATCAGAAGTTGCATCATGTGTAAAACTATTGCGCGTAACTAGATTGCACCGAAAAAGAATTATTGTTATTGAAAAGAACTCCTTTAAAATTTATTCTTTAACACATTATCTGTCGAGTGCCAACGAGACACCTGGCAGAAGAAATGGGTAATGATTTTGCTTGTCTGTGAAACATTCAGAAAAAGTATATATATATATATATATATATATATATATATATATATGTTTGCTGTATTCATGGGGGAAGAGTTTTCAGAATCGTACATAGAAAATTATTATACGATTTCTAGAATCTTTGTCCATTCCAAGCAGTGAGTGTTATATAGTACTTAT